CTCACAGCTATCACACAGTCGTGGCATGCATCATGCGTTCGCACTGCTCCATTACGCTTTTCATTTCCTACACAATTCGCAAGTACAAGTATTTATCAACAAAGATGAGGCACGCTAGCACATTATTACTACGAGCTAAACCCATTTCAACATATCTGAACTACCCTCCTAGAAATTTGTTTTACCTTACCTGATAGAGGACAAGGACTTACCGGGCTCCTCATCTGTCAGAGACTAAAGCCAGCTTTCCCATTCGTGCTGCTACCATTCCCCTGGAATTCCCTCCAAGAACTATTGGTTCAAAACGCTGTTGTCCACTACTACATCTAAGTCCGATAATTCACTTTCACTCTTATGACGGCGATGTGTTCTCCAACAAGAAGCTTCCACTTTCTGTATAAAAGAGGATAGCCATCACTTCCTTTTCACGTTTCGCGAGTTGACAGTCAATGCAACTTTTGTACGCTTACCCTCTTTCATGCAAGGCGACCTCGGGTTCAGTGGTCCGCAGTGCCGATGAATCATGTTTTTGATAACAACATCGAATGAAGAGGATCCCCTTCCCGACTGAGAAACTCCGCGGCCTAATGCTGTCGATCTGAACTGGGCGGATTTTCTCACTCACACTAAGATGTGGGCATGCGGGAGACCGCGTTTCTGCCATTGCACGCTGTAAATCCAGCAGTACTGTCTCCAGATAGCTGTTGGCTAGCACATCCATAAAAAGAATCTTCTACGTCAGATAGCGCTTCCCAAGAAAAAGCTCTTGTGCAATCTCGGTCCATGCCCGTCTGCATGTCAAGTCATAAACAGATCAGGACGAAATTATACAGCCCCAAACGCCCTAATAACACACTCTAATACAGACATTGCATCCTGAGTGCACTCGTGCATGTGGCGTGGGCGGCACATGAAGGAGGATGGTAGTATGACCAATCGCATGAGATCAATGATATTTTCATCTTCGGCCACGGCATCTTCAGATGCAGCTGACCACACGAATACCTGAAAGGCTTTAGCTTGCTCAAGATTCCGTTAAAGCTACAAGTGCACCCCATATTTATATACTGTACATACATTCAATATAACAAAAAGCTCTTTTCAACAATATCTCCTCAACGGGTCATAAACTTAGTACAGATCCTCAAAAACAGTGTCCAGGTACAATTTCGTCTTTATTTTAGACGTCCAACTGATGGGTGCTCAAAGCACAAAGTTTTGCACTTGCAAATCTGCGCGCCAGAGGGCATGCTGTATGACGTGCTTACCCTGGACACTGCCTTCAATGAGAAAATTCATTCTATTAGCGAAGAAAATGTTAAACTTCTACAGCATGAAAACAAGATACTTGCACAACCAATATTAGTATTGAGACTCCAACAAACACAAACCTTATCAAACATATAAAAATGTCTCCCGAAAGGTCCCTGCAAAAGACTAGAAGAAAAGTGAAATCATGACTAATATTGAGACAGAGTGGAGTTGTGAAAATAGTTGATGGGTCTTGGAATGAGTAAAAAAAGATATGAAGCGACAAGATCAGCAAATTAAAGAGTAATCACAGTAATACGGGATATGGTGCGAAAAATTGTCATGGATTCAAATTGACTAAAATTCATACGTAGAACACTCATCCCTGAAAAACAAAGAAGATATAAGAATTCAAACACGAATTTCCTTAGCGATTGGATCATAATATATCGTTCTGACTGGTGGTACGAATTCTGCTCTTCGAGGTTCTGCACTCGGAAATGAGCTCTAAAATGCAATTTTTCCTGACACATTCTTCGAATAGATCTAAATTACCGTGATGTGTCCATAATTCCATTTCATCAATAATTCCGTTATCATGTCGATTATCGCCTTGTTAGCAAACTGGATATTGACGCGGCTAGAAAACACACAATGTAGAGTCGAGTGAACCATGCAAATAAGACTGTACTTGTCCGGCTCCAAGATTCGTTTGTCTAACATTCTCTTGCAAATTGTCTCGCTTAAAGCAGAATTAAACAGAGGAATGCCGAATACGCAGTCAAGGAGAACATAGTCACTGTAGGTAGATCCATTTGGCAACGAGCTGAAAAAAGGTTGATGGTCAGCATTACACTCAGTTTTACATTTACACTGCGCAAACATGTCAAATTTTCCGCATCGATCGAGATCGCTGCGCAATGCTAACGCGCTGCGGATGTGTTGCGCGAGAAAATGAGCACTGACTGACACAGATTGTACCTGATCTCGCAAACGGTACCAATTTGTTGTATGTAACTACTCCCCGTAAATAGCGAAATTAAAAAAATAGATGTACCTGAGAATCGAGTGCGAACCTCGCTGCATCACATTATCATACGGATTGACTGTCGCCGAATTTGTTGCCTTCACATGTCTTGTGACTTTTTGGTTCAGAAGCACTACGTAACCACACAAATGATTTAGTCCTAATTTCGAACAAAGTGCCACGACTGCTGGATGTTTTGCAAATGCACCTGAAAACATAGTTTGTAGATGATTACCCCAAAACCTGCACACTTATGTCACATCTCTTCTAGAGAAATTT